GATTATGACCAATATCAAGATTCAGATTACCATAAGTGTAACTTTGAGAATTCAGGAAGAGCTTTATGTCGCGGATATTACAATGATCGAAAGGACTCGCATTTTTGTTGGTTCGATTTTTGCGGTCAGTTTGGAATCTCACGATGACATAGCGAGGTTTTTCCAATTGGGTTGAGCATTTCACCACCCAAACGTGTTTAGAGGTCGCTGGCAGGAGTGGATGCTCGTAGGTCTCCCAGGCTCGAAAACTGACGGGAATTGGTGCTTCCTTGGAAATGTAGTTCAGTAGATTGATTTTCTTGGAATCAGCTACTCTGATATAGGGAATCATCCACTCTACTTTATCCAGTGAGAGTCTGAATGTTTCAGCAGCAGCTTCCTGCCGGTGCTTGGATGACTGCATTCACATCGCTGTTTTCACGTGGCAGAATAAGTTCATGGTTCGCATTGAGGATGATCCTTCCGTAGTCCTCAGTAAAGCCCAATAACATACTCAAAGGTATGGAGATGTCAAAATGGCCATTCGCATCGATGATTGTTGATTCTTCATCCTTAAGGATCCAACCTGCATTCTCCAGAAGAGCAGCTTGACCCGGAGTTTGCGAAACAAAATTCTTCATCAGTGTTGTGATACTAATATTTTTGTTTCTATCAATCACAATGGCATTCAATTCGTAGCGAATTTCTTCGAATAAGTGAACAATAGCGCAATTCACTAATCTCGTGTGCGTCACAGCTTCTCCATCTACTTTGGTCAAGCGTCCATGTATATATGCAATGAACTCTTACTCGGCAGCAGGCACAAATGTTGATGCTGAACGGCGATGCGAATTTCATCATTGTTATTGAAAGTTGCTGATGCAAAAGGCTGATGTGCATGAATCTCATAATGGGCGATAGATTCGTCGAAGACGATGGGCTTTTGAATTTTCAGGATCTCCTCCGTGGCTTACGATGGTAGATGACACTGCAGCAGCAGAGGAATCTATGAGTTTTTCTTTTCACTGATTTTTTTTTCTTCTCTTTCGCACTTTGAGCCCTAAACTTCTTAGAAATTTTCAATTCTGCGGTGTTAAGGCCTTGAGAGGTCGTCGATGACTGCTTGGAATTGGCAATGGTGATTCACTTTTATAACGACCTCCGGATTTGGTATTGAAAACAATGCCCATATTAGGCTTTGATGTGTAATTATTTTAACCTCTCCTCTGAAATTCACCAATTGACCTTCTTGATCGACAATTCTCACTGGGAGATGATCTATTGCCTGTACAGCGATCGGAAGGTAAATGATATTTGATGGCAGTTCAATGATCTTATATGCTGGTGGAACAGTCGGGAAGAATTTGTGTACAGTGTGTACTCGCTGTTCATTGATGTATGCTCCAGTGGTGATGTTGCACTCGACTCGTAGTGAATTGACCTTGAGAATCGTTACTGGCGAATCAGATTCCTGACTAATATGCGGCGACAGAATACCTTGCGTGAAGCCCAATAACCATCCAATCGAATCTTCTGGATCAAAATTTATCGGGTGACTGCACTTGATTATACTCTTTAGAGTGTTATTGTTGGGCTTAAGGCTGATATTTATGTTGTATTCAACGAGTTTCTCAACCAAGAAATTCTCAATATCTTCAATTTCGTAGCTTCCTGTAGGTATTTCAATAACTTTATCAGCCATATAAAACTTGTTATTCCCGGTGTCAATATTGGGAATGGAATTGAAGGTTAATAGTTCACCCAATCCCAGAGTGTAATTCTTCATTGGTGATAAGTCACTTGGAGGAAAGTTCTTTGCCCAATACAATGGACTGCATTGTCTGATTATGTCTCATACTCTCCTGAAGAGCTTTCTTAGCTGCATTTGCGTCGTTGATGGCTTTTGTAATGCCTGCTGCACCACCAGCTACAGCTCCGGTGGCACTCAAACAGTGGCCTGCAAACAGCGGTATGAAGAAGGGTATTACACCTCCAATTTTGGCGGGCACAGGTAGAACGCGAGGTAATCGCACCTGCTTTTTACCACCAATCTTTTTCACTGCGGCGCGTGCGCCTTCGAGCGCTTTTTTGATAGCGTCGGTTCCTGGACGCATTGATGTTTTAGGAGCTTGTAAAATTTGTCGTAGGGCTACTTTCTTCTTTCTTCCACATCCACCATCACTACGTTTTCCTCTCTTTTTCTTCTTCTTAACTCCTTTGCTTGGTTTTATCCCCATGTCTAGGGAGGTTTTTGCTTTCATCGTGTTAGCTATACCCTAAGCGGCAGCTTTTTCACCAAGACCCACGTCTTTCGATAAGACTCATTTCCAGGCTTCTTCCGTGAGAACTTCATCTGCTTCGTGTCGTGCACTTACGTTATTTCTATTTTTCGAGTAGGCTATGTCGTGTTCTTTGCAGGCGGCATCAAGTGGATTAATGCCAAGGTCACCCCGTTTCAATCGCTTTTGTAGCTTTGTCCCAGGACCACAATACTGATATTCGGGTATATGCAATTCCACAGGGAGTTTGTTGATAATACTGTTCACTAAACCTTTACCTTGACGTCCTCTCTTACGTTTGTACACTCTCACGGCTATGCAAGGACTGACTAGTAATGAGATAAACAGCGTGTATTTATATATTTCTCGATAGATCTATAAAATTATGAACATTCATCGTTTTGTTCAGTCATCAACTATGCGTTTCAAAGAGCAGAAGACTAAGCTACCCATAATAAATTTCGATGAGTTATCACAAAGAGAGAGGACTAGAGAGCAACGTCATGGTCCTCTATTACCAGATAGTGTGCGTGCAGTTATTTGTGGACCTTCGAATTGTGGAAAAACAAACGCTCTACTGGCGCTCATATTCCACCCTAACGGTTTGAGGTTTGAGAATATCTATGTGTACTCAAAATCTCTCAATCAACCCAAGTACCAGTTGCTGAAACGTTTGCTCTCCTCTATCAAGGGAATAGAGGAGAGCAGACGAATAGGACGAGGGAAGGGAATAGGATATTTCCCCTTCAGTGAACGTGACGAAGTCATCAAGCCAGAGGATGCTCGGCCAAATTCTATCATGATTTTCGATGATATAGCCTGCGAGAAACGGAATCATATCCGGGCATTCTTCTGCATGGGACGACATAGAGATCTTGACAGTTCCTATCTGGTGCGGGACAACACCAATCTCCTGATACTCTTCCGCCAAGATGATATGAATCTAAGACATATTTATGAGCATCATTTAAATAGCGATATGTCATTTGCTGAGTTCAAGGACTTATGTGCCAAGTGTTGGAATGAGGGCAAATACAGTTTGATGGTGATGGATAAAGACAGTGAAATTGATGAGGGTCCATATCGAAAAGGATTCGACGGTTTCATGAAAAAATAAATATACACTATTCGAAGAAATTGAGAGTAGTTGTAGCGTGACTGTATAAGTGTCAATATGCAGAGCGAAAATTTCAAGAAGAAGATGAATATCTTGCGGAATATTACTCAAGCGAGTGATGCTATTCGCCGCAAACACAAAATGATAAAATTAGGTAGGGCGACCACTGAGAAAGCTATGAGTGAACTGCTTAAGCCAGTGATAACTCCTCTAGAGAAACTGGTCGATCAATCGGTAACGATGGACTCTTCACATGAGAAGAAGAAAGAGAAGAAGACATCTAGTATTCCTATACGGATGGAGGATAAGGATGACGATTTTGATGATTCTTCTGAATATCAAACTCTGGGAGATCTCCCATTCAACATAGAAGAAGCACATGCAAGTACCCCCTTGAAGAAAATATCACCAATAAAAGCCACGACTCCAACTGATCGTATTCCATTCACCAAGCTGGAATCTCCTATAACCACACTAGCTTCTTCAAACGTATTTGGATCGTTATGATGGATCGTGAAAATAGCGATTTGGATAAGGAATTTGGTGTTCGTTACCTGCAAAGCGGTTCGAAGATTGGTGATTCATTGGTCACATTCCATGGAGATTCAATGACCCTCAAGGGTGAGGAATACATATTAACACCAGGTTTAATGGAATTGATCTTTAAGAAATCACCTAACATGAATCTCATAACCGAAACCGATAAACATACCTACGGTAATATCATACGGAGTACGAATGCACATCGAATGTACTACAGACCAAATAGAGCTTTCCGAACAAGCAACATCACAGAATTTCGTACCGTCATTTTAGATCTCATCAAATCCAAGAAAACAGGAACGGCTCTTCCTCATTATATGATTTCTCCAGTGAAACCTAGGAAAATGGACTATGTGTACTGGGACGATTGTAATGAGCTAGTGGATAAACTTCGAGTACTTATGGCATCACAGTCAGCTGGAAATATGAATCATACCAATGAAATTATGTCAATAATCGAGGAATTACGTGAAGCTGATATTATTTATTGAGCTGTAGCCAAAAAATTCCATCATTTGAAACATGAGTGACGAAGTGTACGGACGCCAGTTGGGCACTAGTGCTGTGAGAGCTATCGGTAGCCTAGATCCTCCAGGTGAAAGATTCAAGGTCACGCCGATGGACAATACGATATGGATCATCGGAGATTATGTAATTTGGCGGATCCTGAAGAAGAGAACGATGCTACACCTTTGAAGATATTGTGCAGTATGTTGAAGGAGGAGCTTCGTCTCATATATAATGTGACTGGACCCATGGGTCGTAGACTTGATGGAATTGAAACGATAATTCAATCATTCCAAGCAAATTCCCCGAGACTATGAAACGAAGGGGTGTTAGTGAAGAGGAAGTATAAGAACGTTTGAGCAGTCATTCTGAGACCATTCAACGTCTAAACGAGGAACTGACAACACTGAAAGAATCGGTTATACATGAGACCAGATTCATGATCGATGGTTTATATTCACTGATAAGCGAGCAATTGGAAGGAATAAAGAAAGAAGAAGTGACTAACCAAAATTTGGCACTACGCAATTCTGAAATAATTGGTGATTTGGATAGACGTCTAATTGCATTGGAGAATGGACAACAAGAAGGCAACAGTAGTGGAGGAGCTCCATAGACCAGCTTGTCGGAATTATCCACGTCGACGTGCTGAAGTCCGCGGGGTGGATGAGACATGCCAGGTAGATCTTGTGGACATGAGTGTCTATGCTCGTGAGAATGGAGGTTACAAATACGTCCTAACAGTTATCGATATTTTCTCGAAATATGCCTAGGCTGTGCCGACCAAGACCAAGAATGGGAAGGATGTGAGCAGTGCTATGGCCTCCATACTTGAACAGGGTCATGTACCACAGAAGCTGCATGTGGACAGAGGCAAAGTGTTTTACAATAGCGAATTCAAGAAGCTCATGAAAGACTATGGGATTACCATGTACTCAACCTTTAGTAATCTCAAAGCATCCATCTGTGAGCGATTTAATCGCACACTAAAAGAGGAGATGCGGAAAGAGTTCAGCTTACAAGGAACATATGAATGGATTCCTATTGTCAAGAGTCTGGTTCAGTCCTATAATGACACCAAGCATCGCACAATTCGGATGAAACCAATGTCACTGCTGCTCATGACAAGTACCTTTTACGTCATATGTATGGAAAACTGGAAACTCACCGAAAAAAGAAAATCAAGTTCAAGGTTGGAGATAAGGTGCGCGTCAGCAAGTACAAGAATCTTTTCGAGAAAGGCTATACACCAAACTGGACAACCGAGATATTCACGATAATTGAAGTTGTAAACACCAATCCTGTGACCTACAAGCTCATCGATTATGAGAACAAACCAATTGAAGGTGGATTTTACCAGGAGGAGTTAACGAAAGTCAGATATCCTGACGTCTACTTCGTAGAGAAGATACTTCGAAGACGTGGAAATAAAGTATTTGTCAAATGATTGGGTTTTGATATTTCATACAATAGTTGGATAGATAAGAATGGATTGTAATAAACGAATGAATAATAAAGCATAATAATTCCAACTAAGAGCTATTTTTTTCTGCTGTATAGTATATACATCATGGTTCTGACTTTTAATCAAATACTGTGATTTAGTTAGACTTTGGTGATTTATCAGACAGTCTTTATAGTCATAAAATGTAATCTTTTTCAATGCTGAACCTTTCACTTCTTTCGCATGCTTCTTCGCTCTCTCATCACCATGAATTTTAAACGTGTACAATGTTGCTCTTAAACCAACAAATTCACTCATTATCTTACCATTACACTCATTTTTCATAAGTCCTAATATTTTCTTATTCGCAAGTAGCATTCCATAGATATTATCTTTTGAATAATCAGATGTATCAAATCGAGCAATATCACGTTCCATACATTCATAAATATCAAGTACTTTGAACTCATACAAAAGACTGTCTGTATCTGTGTACATGAGCTTAGCACTGTCCCCAAATTCTCGTTTAATATAATCATAATGAAAATCATAGATGAATATTTTAGATAGATCCAGAATTGAGAAACCACCGTAAATGGGTGTAATGAAGAACATTTTATTTCGATTTAACTGGGTAATTGCCAAATCCCATTAAAAATAATACAACTGTGGAAGTTGGGCTGGGCAATGAAGACTTTGGCACCATATCGTCCTTCCCATTTCGTCACCAACTTCACGTCTTTTTGTTTTCTGACATTCTCAATGGTTTTCCCGAAAACTGAATTGTTCATCAATTTGAAGAAATTTTTTTCAAACTCATTGCTCGATTGCTTTTTCAATTCTGTATTGAGATCATTGTACGTTTTCAGCCATGGTGCTTGGTCAAATTCCAGTACTCGGTGAATTTTCGTAAATTTTAGCCCCAAATTCAAACACTGCTTGAGATTTTTGTAATGAATCACATAATTTGTTTTTGGAAGTGATGTCGTCATCAGTTTTGAGATTTTCTTGTTTGGGGGAACAAAATGTTCCGGGCAAAGTGGTAAATCCTTGTGAGTCTCAAAGAGTTTTTCGGGATACTCCAAGTCAACCTCAAGGATATAACCTTTGCTCAAATCATCTGGAATTGTATGCACATCAACGATTAATGGCTCAACCCACTGGAATGAGCCATATAGTAAGTACTGTGACATGGCTGCTCCGTACAAATTGTTCACGTCAAAGTACATCAGGTAAGAAATTTCTTTGTTGGGGTCGAATTCCTTATGCATATACTTATTGTTGGCACAAGCGTACCGATTGTAACATTGAGCCACCCCCCCTCGAATCCCTTTCTCAATAAACAAGTGCATGTCAATGTCAGTGAGGAGTTCAAGGTTTACACCAGTGCATTTCAACATAGCATCAGAATGGTAATCCTGGTGCGGCGTAATAATACAGAGGATCAAGTTTGTACGCCGAAGAACAAGTCTGTCTGAAATTTTGGAAGATATCTGCCAAAAGTACTGTGTCTGTTGCTAGATAGAGGTCGGAATATTCACCTAAAGATGTGATGCGAAAAATGTTCCAAACTGCTTGTGCATGCTCGTAATCCTCAGTAGAGATACTCTCATCGTTCAATTTGGCATAGAATTCCTCGATAGGAGGCAATTGAACGTCATCGAGTTTCTCCCAAGAGTCCACATACTCGTGGGAGAACCCCTTTTCTAGTCAATAAACGGAATTTCTCATGATTATCATTATAATACTTTCGCGTTGTGGATTTGTCTTGATCATCGAGATAAGATGCCAATTTTTCCTAGCTACTTGCCATGAACCGGAACGAATCAATGAATGGAAAATGAATTTTAGTCTCATCAACGTCTTTCGTGAAGGAGATATACTTCTCCTTATTGATGGGTAAAAGATCTATTGAACCTGGAAATTGTGTTGCGAGTGTCTTAATAAGAAAATGTGAGTCGTAGCCGGAGAGGTTATGGAAAACTACTGGGATTATGTGAGAGTTTTTATAGTTGACATTACATCCTGTGTGTGCTAGACCGCGATACTTGCCTGTGAAATGGCAGTGGTCGCGATGTTTCTTATCAGTTGGATTGAAAGATTTCTCGCATATGTGATAAACTTGAGCATTAGCGAATTCCTGAGCTTGCTAAGGTGTGAGAGGCTCAATCGGTACGTTAATATCTAAACATACATCAACCTCATGAGCTATTGTTTGCAATTCATCTATGAACCATTCAATACAATCAGGTCCACGTTTCATCTTAAATTGTGACCGAGTGTCATCAAAAGCATAATGTAAATAAAACGCTATGCTACGGGGGATATGCTTTTGATGGATAGATTCGTTCCCAGTTGATGGCAGCATATATTCAAGATCAGCATAAATGACAAATGGAACCATTTCCTTGAATCGATAGTTCTTAAAAATCAAAATATTTTGGCCTTCTTCTGGTAGCACCATTCTATATTTATTAATATCAAGGCAATCTTTCCTACGATTTTGGAAGGATGCTTCTGTTACAAAATGCCCTAGATAAAGCTCACAGAAGAACATTGAATGCTCATCATTAGATAATTGCAATCTTACCAATCGAGATAAATTTCGAATCCAAGCAAAATGATAAACTGGCTGCTGATCTCGTTCCATTTCTACCTTATTGCAAAGCAATAGAAGATGAATCGTTGGCCAAATGGATCAAATTTTACTTCAACCCTAGTGGAAAAACATAAGGCAGAGGCGTAGCATGCCTGATCAGAATTTCGGATCGGACTTGATCAGTTTCTGATCGAGACCTGAACAGAATTTCCACTCGACTATGAGTCAATTTGAGAGTGAAATTCGCAAGTGTCCTGGTAGCTCAGATGGTAAGAGTACCCGACGCGACATTGGGAGGTCCCGGGTTCGATTTCCGGCTAGGAAGTTACTAATTTTTTCTCTGAAAAAATTAAATTTAATTAATGCCTGATGACGGAAGGCGGAGGAACCCTAGTGGAAAAACATAAGGCAGAGGCGTAACATGCCTGATCAGAATTTCGGATCGGACTTGATCAGTTTCTGATCGAGACCTGAACAGAATTTCCACTCGACTATGAGTCAATTTGAGAGTGAAATTCGCAAGTGTCCTGGTAGCTCAGATGGTAAGAGTACCCGACGCGACATTGGGAGGTCCCGGGTTCGATTTCCGGCTAGGAAGTTACTAATTTTTTCTCTGAAAAAATTAAATTTAATTAATGCCTGATGACGGAAGGCGGAGGAACCCTAGTGGAAAAACATAAGGCAGAGGCGTAACATGCCTGATCAGAATTTCGGATCGGACTTGATCAGTTTCTGATCGAGACCTGAACAGAATTTCCACTCGGGTATGAGTCAATTTGAGAGTGAAATTCGTAAGTGTCCTGGTAGCTCAGATGGTAAGAGCACCCGACGCGACATTGGGAGGTCCCGGGTCCGATTCCCGGCTAGGAAGTTACTAATTTTTTCTCTCAAAAATTTAAATTTAATTAATGCCTAATGATGGAAGGCGGAGGATTCCCAGTGGAAAAACATAAGGCAGAGGCGTAACATGCCTGATCAGAATTTCGGATCGGACTTGATCAGTTTCTGATCGAGACCTGAACAGAATTTCCACTCGGGAATATAACGGTACAATATCTTTATCAGTATCTACTCCGTAAACGTTAATTGATAATCCATTCATCCGCTCAAATTTGAGAATATACTTCGGCTGCATTGGAAAATCTAAACCTGTATAGTTGAGTCTTGTTGCTCCATCTGGTAGAGTAGCATGAGAGAAATGAGGATACGAGCTCAATCGATCCACATTATTTGAAGCAGGATGAAGTGCTGCCACGATAGCCCACAGAAAACAGTACTTGTTATTGTTCTGGATATTCACAACTGCTTTCTTAGATTGAATATGTTTAGGAGATGGAATAAAAGTGCTTAATCCTGCTGCTGCGAGTGACACATATTTATTCATATTAATTGGGAGATTGATTAATTCAGTTAACTCCCATCCTGAATCCTTCTCCAGGAAATCCTCGATTTTAGCAAGCAGTCGTTCGGTCAAGTTTTCTTCAATCCACGCCTCGATATTGGTAGTAGGTAAAACACTCTCATTTCTAGTATTGAAGTATTTAACTTCCTCAATCACTTCACCATTTTTCATCACTTGGAATTTACAAGCAAGAATTCCGTTGGCTTTGAAATTTCCTTATTTTTGCAGAGCGTTTCGCAATTGAACAGCTGCAATGGATTTTGCATCCTCCAGAAACGATTCAGGGTCTTTATGACCCAAATTTATAATCACTCCTGTTTTAATTCGATTATTAAAAGCGGATTCTAATTCTCACTTGATCATCCGTTGTCTTGTTTTCCGATAAAAAACTAAGTCTGCCACCATAATGCTGCGTTCGTTTTCGTTTAAACTTTTCACTATAAGTTTGAAGTGAAACTATCATCGTTTGTATTCTCATTTTTCCCCAACGGAGAGATCATTGTGGTCTTTTTTCAAGAGTTTTCCGAAAAGTCTGATGTAATTTTCACAGAAGCGTATTCACCGTTCCAAGTTTACAGCGGATGCATTTTTGTATGCATTTTCAAGTAATTTTAAAACTTCCAAACACGATTTGGCATCCATTTTGATGTGACCAATTCTATCTTAACACACACTTGAAAAGTTTTTTCACAGCCGACAACTTGGGAAATGACTGAATGGGCATGTACCGCAACCTTTTATAGGCGAAACTTGTCTGCAGATGGCGCCTCAAGTTCTTGCATTCGAGAAATATCTTTACATTTGAGCTCACTGTCAACACTTTATGGACATGTGTACGTCCAAGAGTGCTGCCTATAATGTTCTAGAAAAATAACTTCACTTCAAAAACATATATTCCAGCTAATGATCAACATTTCTAGAAGCAGTATCAACGTACGCGCAGTACAAACTACGCTATTCGAGTAAAGACATCCCAAGGTTGAATTCCACTAGTCGTTAACA